CTGAGAGCTCAACATATTATGAAGAAACAAGCTGATGGGCATAGGAAGGACATCCAGTTTGAAGTGGGGGAGAGGGTGTTCTTAAAGCTCCGACCGTATAGACAGAAGACAGTCACCAATAGGAGGAATGAGAAGCTAGCCCCTAGGTACTTTGACATTACGAGGTATTGGAGAAAATATGAGCGGTTGCGTACCATCTGAAATTACCACCAACGGCAACTATACATCCGATTTTTCATGTATCCCAGCTGAGAAGAGCCATTGGAGATTATACAACTAGCCCAGAGTTACCTGTGACACTCATAGAGGATTTATAGGTGATTATGGAACCTTTAGAGTTGATGGGGGTTCGCCAGAAAGGAGATGAAGCTAAAGAAGTACTAATCAAGTGGAAAAATCTTTCGAAATACGATGCCGTGTGGGAACCTTATGAGAGGGTGAAACATCAGTTTCCCAATTTCCACATTGAGGACAATGTGGTTCTTTGGGAAGGGGGTATTGTTACTAAGCAGCCTAAACCGGTCCAGGAGGGGTCAGTTCGGACTTACAGGAGGCCGTCTCCTCTTAAACGGGCGGATCCCACCTCCTTGAGCGGCAACTAGAGAGAGAGAAGGGGCGGTTCATGTAAGAGAGGAATTTGAAATAAAATTATATTAAGAAGCTTTTAATTAGGAAGGATGTATTTAAAGATGATGAGAGGGGCTAGGGTTACGGCATGCTTATATTGTTTGTTCTTTTGGAGAGTTCCTGGGCTCCTTGGGCTCTAGATCTACAATCTAGAGATTGGGAGAAGATCCTCTCGAATTGAAGATCAATTGTATCTTGCTTTGAGTTTTGCTTTGTTTTAATTCCATTATCGCAATCTATTGCTTCTAAGTTTTATTTGTCCAAGTTTCTTGTTTCTTCTCGTTGTTTTGAGCCAATTATTACTAGGGTTGCTTACAAACTCAAGTAAATACGTTAGGATTACTTGCAAACTTAAGTATTTCCTATCAGAAATATGTTGATTTCAGAGAGAAATTAGTAATACGACGTACAAATTTTAGAAAATTGGAGAGAAAACACAAAGAAACTTATTCTATTCAATCCACGAACAAGAAAACAATACAAGATACAAGTTTCTTCAATTCGAGAGGAAGAAACAACTCTCCAAATCTCTAGCAAAGCCTAGAGCCCAAAAGAACATATCCTAGATCTCAAATCTCTTCTCCAATTCAATTATAACCCTAACCTATGATGCACCGACACTTCTCCTCAAAGAGGAGTGCAGTGTCCGACACGACACTCGTCCGAAACTCCTCCGACATGTGTCGGACACATCGAAAACGTGTCTGATTAAAAAATATTAAATGCAAATTGGACACGCGTGTCGGACACGCGTATCTTAAATATTTTATGAATTTTTTAAAATATAATTTCTTGTATTTTGCGGGATTTAAACTAAATTTCTTATTTTCTATCCACAACATCAAATCAACATCCGCACTTAGGAGAAATAGAGAATATCCATTATGATTTAGGAGGAATATAATCTTCGTCTTCTATCAAGGAAAACCTCACTTTATATGACATGTGATAATAAGATGTGGGATGTTACTGGAGATGGGTTCGAGTGCCTTGATGATATGAGATTATTGGAGGTTACAAATCTTTCTCTAGATGAACCAGAGTTGGAAGCAATGATATTCAATGATGATGATATTGATGGTCAAAAATCAACATCTGAACCTAATTCTATCATTCCCTCTATTGAGTAGTTGGACCTTCATGTTGTACTAAATGGTTTTTTGCTTATATTTTTGTGGTTGTACTAATATTTTGTACTAAACATTTTTATGTTATAAGCTAAACAAGTTATCATTAAATTGATTTATTATTCCTTGTCATTTTTAATATAATGTCGTCATAATTTCTATATATTATATTAAAAAATTATTATGCCGTGTCAACGCCGCACCCGTGTCCTATATTTTTTAAAAATGCTGTGTCTCGTGTCTGTGTCGTGTCCGTGTCGACGTGTCCGTGTCAGTGCATCATAGACCCTAACCCTAACAAGAAAAAAGAAATTAAAGAAAAAGGATAATTTCTAATTCCCTAAACAGCCCTTAATTTCAGATTTTCCCTCCAACCCATCACTAATTAGTGTGTGGACCCCATCACACCAGCCGCCCCCCTCTTCTCTCTCTCTTCCTAGTTCCACCCCACCCTTGGTCGCCTTTGATACACCTGAACCAGTCCTGGATGGACCAATTCAGCGGGCCCTCCTTGGGCCGGCTAACAGTGTCTCCTTCATCTTCTTAAAAGCATAAAGAGCATAATAGTTAATTCACTATAAACGAATCAAATGTTCCTAATTGGAAACTAAAAAGAACAACAACCCAGGATTCAAAACAAATTGAAGCTCTTACATCAGTTTTATAAACTCATACAACATGCGTCTCCGTCAAAATCAGCAGATTAGAACAAAATGTCAACAGATATGCAGCATGATCATTCATGGATCAAAATTTTCTAGAACAAATGAAATGTAGTGGCTATGTTGACTAAGAGGCGGCAATCAGCAAAAGCTAGGACATATTTTATTCTGTCAATTATCATTATAGCATCAAAAAACCCCACTAGAACCATTGGAAATCATAACAAGCAATCTTAAGCATATGTGCAAACTTTCTACACACAAAGCCAATCCCGGTCAAAGTGATAGATCTCCACTTACAAATTTCTTTATAAAAGTTCATAAATAGTGTAAATTTGGGATTAGAATCGCATAGTATTCCAATAATTTAATTCATCACGTTCTACTGACATTTCTAGGACTAGCTTTGCCTCTTCCCTTGAACAAGAGGCAATGAGTTTCTCTGCCTGAAGAAGAAGGAGGTTCTCTGCTTGCAGTTCACAAAGGACTATGTTAATGGAACTCCAAGGAGATATGAAAGAGTGGACGCAAGTTTGTTAGAGCTAAAACACTATTAATATATTTAAATTGCTCGTTTTTTTCATTTCCACGCGTTAATTTCTTATCTTTAGTTGTTTGCCTAAAGTTTAAAAATATGCAATTGAAACACTCCACAAACCAAGGCAAACAAAAAAAAAGTTGAGTGGTACAAGCCTCACATGGAATAATTGAGGTAAAAATCAATTGAGGCACTCCTCAATGAATTTTTTATGAGACAAGCCTCCATCTGATGGTATTGGGCGCTTTTCAATCTATGATCCCAAAGCCCAATTACCCTTACAATTTAAATCTAAACCTATTTCATTCAGAAAAAAAAAAAAAACTAAAATGTTAAATTGAGAACGTCAGGACCATCACGAGCAGCATGACACAAGGAATTCGGTATGCAAGACTATGCCACTATGGCTTTCCCACCTCCTTCAATGGTGCTCTATTGTCATCACTACCCTTGGCATCACATCTTTGTCGGCGTCCCTACCATGCTAGCAACCCTAATTTATAGCACTTCTTCGTCTTAAATTATTTTATCTCCTCTCTTATTTGTTTCTTTATTTAGAAATCGTTTTCTTTGATTCATCATTTCGTGTTCTATGTTTTGAATGAACTTTTCAACTTAGCATTATTTGAAAATGTTTAGAAGTTCTAAAACACGTCCAATGTGAAATATAAAAGATCTTACATGGAAGTTTAGTGTTCAAGTGCAATTTTTCACGAGTAAAAGACATAAGTTTATTTGAAATAAAATTATTGTTATAAAGTAATAAACAGAGTTGTTACACGAATGAAAGAACATATTTTTAGTTCTCATAACAATGTTGCATCATCAGCAGCCCAAGAGGCAACAAGAAGAGGAAAAGACAAGTTCCACACACCCAAAAGCTTGCACACTTCTCTAATTTCAGAGCTAAACATCAGCTCATAATGAGCTACACCTCCACTAGATATTAATGAGCTGGCACCACTAGAATTTCAACAGCTAAAGCTCAAACCGAAAACAGCCAAGGCCCTCTTGAAACCAAAAAACAACCCAAAGGATAAGGTGGACCCCAAAACTGGCAAACCCAAGGCAAGCATAAACCAAACCTTTTCCTACCATGATCATTGGATTTACCACCATTATTGGATAGCATAAAAATAAAACAAAAATAGAAAATATAACTAATATTGTTCAAAACAAAAATAATGCAAAAATCTAAATGCATCAGCATTTAACATATATAGTTACTTGAAACTTAGATATTGATATAAATTTTTTTAAAATAAATCTAATGTGTGGATCAATGCATGGTAGATACCCTACTAGAAGGAACGAACAGTTTCTTCACCCATCTAGTTCCCAATGTACTTAGTGACAACATATCAACAGCTCATGCACAGAATTGAAATCCAGGCATACACCTGAAGTGATTAAATTAAATTACTCTTCGACCTAGGAAAAAAATTATCATAAAAATAGAGAAAATAGAAAGAAAGCAAGAGCTTATCAATCAAGTTTAGACTTGAATTATGATGTAAAATCTCGGGTAATCTGGTAAAAGAAATGTCTTCAAATTCAAAAAAAAAAAATTCAACAACTAAAAGATGCATAAAGAATTAACATCCCTATATTTACATAAGAATGTGATGTAACATAAATTGATAATAAAATTTATAAAAAGAATATTTGAAAAAACTTAAAATTTTTGGATTCGCAAGTCTTCTTTATGGGATCAAACTCTATTATGTACACATGACAGTGTATATTCAATCCAGTGCCTGTAAAAGAATTAGGAGCTACTATTGACATCAAATATTTCTTAAAGGCTAATAAATCTGAACTATAATTTCCCCCTTTTATGCATTAACATAACGATAATCAGCTAAAAAAACATAAAAGGCTTATAAGAATAGATAAAATGTCGTATGCTCTTCATTTAAACTATAGCACAATATCCTTTAAATGTATATAAATGGAATCATAATCTAGGAAATCAAGAAAAACACAAAATGCCAATTGTAGTCAAAATAAGTCATGAAAAATAATTTCAAGTAAGAATGAACCCACCAGGATTTGGAAAGAACCTTCTAGGATTATTAGGACATGACAAGAAGAGGACATGTTGAGGACTAAAGATTGCATGGCACACTAAACGAAACCACTCCCTTAAAACACCAGGACCTGTAGCTTCTTCATTTTTGAACACCACAAAAAGCTCACCTCGCAGTGCACTGGCCTCAACTTGGCCAATGTACTCAAATGACTCGTTTAACAGTTGAGGCCTGTCTATAAGCATTTCATGAAACTCCTGAAAAACAGAACTTCTATCAGGGAACAACATCATCACCAATTTTTTTCTCGTTTCAAAATCAGTGATATCTTTGAACTTAAGAAGCCAACGCTGATCCTCACTCCTCCCGACATGTTTAATGAGAGCATTCAAGGGGACTTTCCGTGCAAGCAGAACAGCGTGCAGCAACTGACCTGCATTCTCATAAATTTTAGCAAAATTATGGCATTCACGAAGAATAGGTAGAATGTTACTCCAACGCACCAACTCAGAATCAATTTTTGCACCAGTATTCAGAACCATAAACTGGTCTACATTATCTAGACCCTGGTCAACTTTCTCCAGAAGTTTTAGAAATACTGCATGCAAAACAGTAGCCCATTCCTCGCACATGTCGAGAGGGCTCTTGTACATTGATTCCGGAACGGAACCTTCCCCTCCCAACCATCCTCGTATTGCTAGTCGCAGAGCTTTTAAGAAGTTAGAGAAATCAATAACACGATCAGATGCCAAATAACTTCTTTCTGATGGAAACATGAAATTTGCCTCAGACAGCTCCGCGACAAAAGGGTAGAGCTTAGTTACCATATCCCTCGTTCCATTCAAGTAAAACTTTCGGTCCTGAGACACTAGCAAAGACCCCAGAGCGCTTCGGCAAGAAATATAAAGGGAATCCATCTTGCTAACCGTCCCAGCAAGCAATTTACAGAATTCAAACAATATTGGAGTACACTGAAGGAATGCAGGCTTCGAAAGGTATAGTGAATTCCAAGTGAAGAAAAGGAAAATGACTTCTTTTCCAATTGCTCTAATTTGCTTGAACTGTGACAAATAAAGTTTCACAAAAGCAATATGGGCCTTTGCCGAAATTAAAACTTGAAAATGCCCAACGGCATCATCATCCATTTTGGGGGTCATTGCAAGGAATTTTTTAACAAGGGATACAATACTAGGAATACCTTTACCGTCAGGTTCACCAAGGGCAAGCATGTCTGTGATCGCAGAGAGCATCTCGTCGAGAACCTGCCATGAGCTGGGGAACCTCGAGCTCCAAAGTCGGCATGTGAGGTGAAGAGTGGTGTCCTTCTCGATGGCGCACTCGGCAAGGGTCGAACCTTCAGAAAGAAGCCGATTGCGGTAAATGAGGCGATGATCGGTCGATATTACTCCAGTAACAGAGCTTATCCGCGCGATTATGGATTCAACAGTTGAATCGGCGGTAGCATGGAGCACTAGGGTTTTAGAGAATACGCGGACGAAGAAATGGAGTACTGTGTGGTCGATGTCGGCATCTCGCATGTAAACAGCGGCGTCGAAATGGAGTGATTGGGTGATGTCAAGGGAGGCACAGCAGTCGCAATTGCGTTTGGAGGGGAGATGTAAGAGGGAGATGACGGAGTCGAGAGGTAGGGAGCGGTCTAAGCGGGACATCTATGGCGGTCCGGCGGAGGGACGAAAAAGCCGTAAGTTAGTAGTGGTGGTTGTGGTGGTGATGATGGTGGTTATGGCGGTAGTGCTCGTAGTGGTGACTTCGGTGCTTGTTAATGGAGATATAGGAGTTTAGGAAAGTTTTGCGGGCTTCGTAGAGAGAAGAAACGAAGCAAAAGAGGCAGGACAACCCGTCGGATGCAATATCTCTCCCCCACAAGAAACCAGGCCAGTTTTTGACTGCTTTCTGAATTTAGGCGGCTCTAATAAATTTTTTATTAGAATAAAATTAAATGATAGTGAATTTTAAATTTATTTTAAATTAGAGTATTATAAAAGTTATATATATAATATTAATTTTAAGATAAATTGAATAGCATTAATGCTCATCATAACATAATTTATTTTAGAACATAATATAAGTTTCTTTAACTTTTTTATATTATATTGATTTCAAAGCATCCTAATAGCATTTTAATTAAATTTAATCAAAATATCATAATCAATTTTTTTTATGTAACTGATATAAGGTTATTATAATGATACTAGAAAAAACTTTAATTAATTGTATATATTAGGTGAGGTTCGCTATTTTTTCAAAGTAAAAATATAATCTATAAGATTTATATTATATATTTAATTAAAAAAATTACGTCAAATACTCATGCTTAGGGAGTGGTTTCACAAGTTTTTTGCTGAAGAGTTCAATTAGTTTTTGATAGAAGTGTGTTGCTACCTTCATAATACGCGTGGAGTTCGGACCGAACTACATTCAATTTTTATGAGTGTGCGCAGTGGTGAATAGTAACTATGATTTTACTGTGCACACTCACAAAAAACAGATGATTATCCGGTCCAGACTCCGCACGTAATAATCTCTCCCCACAACGAAGACTTTTTATTGACTTATAAAAATACGAGTGTATAAATTAAATGAAATTTATTATATTAAATTTTTAGCACAATAGAAAAAAGAGGAAAATATAGATTACTCAAAATTAAACACAAATAAGTTGGATAATGATAAGATTTCTCTTTGTGTAATAATTTAATATTAGATTTATTAAATTGATAAATTTACTTTAGCATTAATTTAAATTATCATATTATTTTATTATGACATGTTATAAGTCAAGTCAACAAATGGAGAGAATTTTTAATCAACTTAGCTTAAAAAAACTTAATTTCTTACCCGGAAAGGCATAATAATAAATAGTGAATTTAAATATGTCGTTAACTCCAAGTTATTATAGATTCAAGTTTGTTGACAGCTCTAAAAAATAGTAGGGAGACCAATAGAGAAGAAATAAGATTTATTTCGAATATCTAACACACATATATAAATAAAAAAAAAATTATGAGAGATGTCAAAAAAATTATGTGAAAAATCCTTAAAATGAAAAAGAAAATACAAAATTGTCCTTGTTTAAACAATTCTATCAGTATTTTTCATAGTTTCTATTGGTAACAAGGTCAATAGGCATTGATGATGCTAGATGTAATGATCAAATGACTATAAGTCTTTGATGATGGTGATTCGATGAGTATATTTTACCAATGCTGATCGAAGAACTGTAATTAGGTGATGATAGTCGAAAGATCGTAGTAAGGTGATGATGGTCAAAGGACTTTAGTCTGATGACGGTGGTCAGAAGACAAAATCAGGTGGCTTGGTTAAAGGGTCACAGTAAGACGATAGTGGTCGAAGGACTATAATCATGCAATAGTGGCTAGAGCGTAATTGAGTGATGACGATCAGGGAATCATAGTTGAGCGATGGTGGTCGAGAGACTATAGTCGAATAACGGTGATCAGAGAACAATAGTCAAGCAATGATGGTCGAAGGATAATAGTCAAGCAATGGTGGTCAATCAGAGTATCGTGATCGAGTGATATTGGCCGGCAGACTAATCGGGTGTGAGGGTCAAATGATTGTAATTGGGTCATGGTGTTTGGAAGATCATAGTTTAGTGATAATAGTTGAATGACCAATTAGAGTGATGGAGGTCCTAATATCGTAGTGGGGAGATGATATTCAAGGGTATATAGTCAAGGGACAGTGCTTGGAGGAGCATAGTAGGATGACGATGGTCGACACTTCGTGGTCAGGTAGTGATGATCAGGGGACTATAGTCAAGCAACGATAATCAAATGACCATAATCTTAAAATGGTGGTTGGAGGATGGTTGTCGATTGACATTGTTGGAGGACTATGATCAAATGATATTGGTCAGATGATTATTATTATGCGATGTTAGTTTGTTGGGCAAAGGTGGTCGAATGATCCTAATTAGGCGATGATAGTCAAAAGGGGTAACTTGATCAAAGGATTGTAGTTGAATAATGAAAGGTGAAGGATTGTAATGGTTTTGACTGCGTTTTGAATTTTGGCGGATCTAATAAATTTTTTATTTGAATAAAATTTAGTGATAACTAATTTAAGTTTATTTAAAATTAGTGTAATAAAAAAATTATGTATAAAAAGTTAATTTTGAGATAAATTGAATAACATTAAAGCTCGTTATAATATATTTTATTTTAGAATATTTTATATAACTTTTTATATATAATAGAATAAAGTTTATTTTAAAATTGATATATTATAAGTTTTATTTAATTTCTTATATGTTATATTAATTTCTAAATATCCTAATAGCATTTTAATTTAATTTTAATCAAAATATTATAAACGATTTTTTTTTTTCTATAATTGAGATATATCAAGAAAAATATTTTAGTTATAGGTGTGCTACTTTTCCAAAGTAAAAAATATAATCTATATGATTTATATCATAAATTTAATTAAAAAGATTTGAGTCAGATATTAATGCAAATGCATAAATTATGTGTAATTTATTATATTAAATTCTTAGGACAATAGGAAAAGGAGGAAAATATAGATTAATGAAAACTATACCTAAATAAATTGGATAATGTCAATCATGACGATAAGATTTCTCTTTTGTGCAATAATTTAATGTTAGTATATATATATATATAAGTGCAAAAGTTATAGCATAATAATTTTTTATATAAAAAATTCATAAAAGAGAAAATCGGGAGGTCTGACTCTGGATAAAATAATTGCACTAGAATTTGTCATTGTTTACAAATGGTGCTCTTTTTTGGGGAAGGCATTGAGTCAATATATTATATGTTATTAGTATATGTATCCTTATCAAATGTTATCCATGGATACATTAAAGTCATATGATTTATTTATCAATATATATGCATTAATATATAATTCAGTAAGACATGAAGGCATGACATCCATCCTTAGTATGGTGTTTCATTCCTTCACCCCAACTGGTAATCAGTTGGTCATCAGTCTTTAATTTAACCTCAACTATCAATTAATTGGTCATTAGTTTTTATTTTATTATTATCATTTATATCTTAAACTAGTTTACATATGGCTTTCAATAATCTATAAAGAGTCATCACTATTTACTCGTCGACATAATCGATCATCAATTATAAGCTACAATCGGGATAACACCACAAATCATTTTTAAATGAAAGCACATCAGCCCACTCTCCTATATTAGGCATTAATATTTTAAGAGCTCATATTAATTATAGTGTTTACACCTAGCCTTCCTTGCTTACATACAAATACCACATTCATCATGTATTAGTACTCTTATTTTCATATATGAAATGTAATAAATGAAATGTAAGAAAATCAATAAATATGCATTAGCTTTAGAAAATCATGACTATTAATTTACCCAGTGAAATTCGGTAGTATTCTAGTTGAAATGCCTGTTATGACAATATATATATAACATATTAAAAGCGGTATGTTGAAAGTTCACAGAAAATGGAGATATTATATTTCTATCACTTATGAGAAAGAAAATATATCAAATTCAGAATAATTGAAAATATATACATAGTAAAGATTACTTACTTTGCTAAGAAATTATTTTCATAGTAGGAATGATGGTTAAGAAATCTCCAAAGAGCTTCCTCTCTCTTCTCTCTCTCCTATCATCTCTCTTCTCTCTTCTTCTCCTTTCTTTTCTTTTCGGCTAAGGAGAGAGAGGAATGTCAATGATATGTTTTATAAAAAATACACAAAAAACTTATTTTAGTTTATGGCACTATGGAAATAACCTGACACATAATTATAGCATTGCATGTTATTCTAGAATTACAACAAAATAGATAGAAGTGGCACTGAGGTGCTATTTTTGGACTTTCTAATGCTGCTGCGCTTGAAGCGTAGTACTACAATGCTTTAGTTCAAAAGTTTTTAGATTTTAAGATATATATTTTATTTTAAAATAATATTTATAATATTATGCTGTTACAAAGAAAGGGGAAAGATAAACTCATAGGCTGTCGTGCTGGTTTCGTCTATCGGGTAAGTAAAGGAATTCATTAGGTAGGACGTAGGGGTTCCAAAGACTCCCTCTTTAGGTATTGTACTATTACCAAAAGTTATTCTACTTTTGCCCCCACAGCAAGACAGAGAAGCCTTTACAATTTTTCTCTTTTTCACCTATTCTCGGTGCGGTAGAGTACCATTGTCTTTTCACACCCTCCAAGTATCGGCAGAGTACCGTTATCCTTTCACACCATCCTGAAAGTGCTTTGATGGCACTAGAAAGTTCGTTAGGGATATTAAGCCCTTATGAACTAGTCCCGAGGCTAACCAAGAGGGAGGGTGAGTTGGTATTTAAAAAATCTTTTCGATCAAAACACGATCTTAAAACAAAAATCAAGATTCACCACAAAAAATCAAAGTGTGAAAATTAAATGCAGAAGCAATAAAAAGAAAGAACACACCAGATTTATAGTGGTTCAGTCAAATCTTGACCTATGTCCACTTCTCGGAGGCACCCTCCAAGTATTGCACTAAATTTAGTGTGAGAGCTCGTTCCTTTGATTTGCCTTCTCAGATTTGAGTTTTCCTCCCAGGATCGTCCGGGATGATATTGAGATCGTCCAGGACGATCAGTGTAGTGAAACAGCTGATTTTTTTGGAATGGGATCGTCCAGGCCGATTTTGGATCATCCTGGGACGATCAGATACGACAAGAATCCCGAGAGCAAAATCAAAATTACCGGCCGGAGGAATCGTCCGGGCCGATTTGATTTTGTTCTGATCGGCCAGGACGATGTGGCGATCGGCCGGGCCGATCAGACTAATGTTATAAGGAAATCAGCTCGATTCGAGGAGAGAGAAAATCATTTTATAAAAAACGAAAATATCTGAGGAGAGAGAAA